ATTATTGTTTGATAAAGTCAATTTTGAGTCTGTCCTTCCTCTTTCTCTTTCTCAGTCATCTGGGTTAGAACACAAAATAAATGCCATGTGATTGTCATGCGTAATTGTCAATATATTTGATGATTTGCTCTACACAGTTCTATTTATTATATATTATAAATAATATATAATAAATGAATAATGAGGGATAGTATGCTACAGTAGAAATCAATGACCATGTTGTTCTATATATTTCATCTGAAGCTCAACAATATACAGTCCTGGTGAATTATTTTAATATACCATTAAACTGACTTTTTAGTTTCTTTCCTACTTGAGTATAATCTATCTATGAGTATAGCATTTATTTATCTTTAAGAAGTATTTTATTAACTTTGTCAGAATATTTTTATCTCAACATAATCATCACTTATGCAACAAGGGGAGTGAAGATCTGCCATTTTGAAAAATAGGTTTCTGTATTTGAAGTTTGAGGAACCAGGCTTTATACTATGACAACCTTTCATTAACAATTGTCAGAGAAGCATGACGTTTTTATTTGAGGGTGTGAGGGGGAAAACTGTGCCGTGTTCAGGAAGTGACCTCTGCCAGCAGTGTAAGAGAGATAAGAAGTATTCTTTTATATTGTACACTTGTATTATTTCATATCCGTAGTTGTCGTCACTGAACGACCGTACAGTGGACTTTGGGTAATCTTTGTAACAAGCTTTGGTGTTTTTGTGCAGACGTGACTGAGCAGCGGCTCTCCATAAACACAGTATTTCATTAAAACAAAAATTTGCACCATGTTTCAAAATGCATCACATGATCTGCCACATAACCTCTTTTTAAATAATACATACTATATATTTTGGTGAGCAGCAGAGTGACAGAAATTAACTGAGAAACTAACTTTTAAAAAGCAAATGCCACTTAATCCAGAACTATATGTGAGGATACTGACCGCACATACTGCCTCTGGAGCAGTGGGGTCAAACTTCTGGCCCACGGGCCACTTCTGTCCAATGACTAGATGTCAATAATAACTTAATTTCAAAGTAATTGTTATTAAATTATTAAACTGTTTTAGTTTGTTAATATTTGCACTAGCTGTTGGCACTGTAGTATAACTTACATATTAATCTAAAATAACTGGATTTTTCTAAATTGAACATTACCGTGACCCTCCATTGAAGTGAGGGTGGCAGCTCATTTGAGTGCAAGTTTGAAACCCCTGCTCTAAAGCAATAACAATGTCACTCAGACTGGCTCTCCAGTCAAAGAGTAGCGCTTAAATGATATACTGACATAGTAAACACAGGCTGCGTTTAAAAATAGGCAGAAATGAGGAAAGTTATTTATGGCTCTGCTGACCTGGAGGTGTTCTTCTGGATTCTGAGAGACCTGATCCAACGGGTCAACTCTCCTCAGGTCTCACGTGTTCCCTCACCGATGAGGCTCATGTTACTTTAAACTTGCCCCTGAAATGTGTCTTTTCATCATGGACGTCAACATCCTTGTCCTCTGTACTGCAGGTGTGGGGAATGTGGCTGTATCCTGTCTCACTGGTACTATGAAAAAGAAGGACAGCTCTTCTGTAAGAAGCACTACTGGGCCCGATACGGAGAGCACTGCCACGGCTGCAATGAAACCATAACAACTGGACTCATTATGGTGACATCATAGTGACTTTTTAAAAATACTCAAATGGAAATTTATTACCACAGCCTTGGCCATTAAATACTACAACCTTGTCTACTACCACTACTACTTTTATATGGATACTTAAAAATATGGATACTTTAAATCATAACCTAAACTTTATTTAAAGTCAGACCAGACAAAAAAAAGGAACGTCTTATTTACTGGGTGTTTTGACTCATTTGTATTCCAGAGTATTTAGTCACAACTCTGCTGCTACTGTGAAGGAACAAACCAAAGGAAGGGTCTTCTTGGCAAATAATCTTTCCTGTTTTCATGTCACGCTATTTAATTTTGAAGTCAGTCTGTGGGAAATTAGTTGATTGGTTGAACATTTTGCCTTGTATAAAATTAAGTATCACACAAAATACCGAGCCTTGAAACAAGCATTCAAGTATTCAAAGCCTTCCTGCCTCTTGTTTCCCTCCTGGTGTGGCAATAAATGATTTTTTTTTCTCTCTTTCAACTTTTAAACCAGAGGATTTCCTCAGAAAACATCCTGAAACCAAAAATATTCGTGGAGGAATTGCACAGAAGAGCTCTTAAAGTCCTACACTGTGTATACTACTTACTAAATAACTGAATGGAATACTACTGTTTTAACCAGAATCACTCCCACTGTAAACAGGTAGCTGGAGAGCAGAAGTACCATCCTGAATGTTTCACCTGCATGAGCTGTGACATGTTCATAGGATATGGAGACAGCTTTACACTTGTTGAACACAAAAAACTCTACTGGTGAGTGTATAAAAAAAGAAGAATGACAGAGCTGTGTAAAAATAGTTAACACACACAGTCACACAGACTTGTCATATTTTGACTTCTGCTGCAGTGGCCACTGTTTCTGTCAGGGTGTAGTGTCAGGTGTGAGCTCAGCTTCTCCTCTCACCAAAAGTCACCACATGGTCGCACTGGTGTCTCTACCGCCGCATGCAGGAGTCCACCGAGGCCTGACTGTAGAGACTGATGCCAGCCAAGACAACAGTCCACTTGTAACAGTGACGGAGTGAGTCTTTATTTATAGAACAGAAATCCAGCGGAACCAGTGCCACCACCTCCAACATACTGAGTCTAAACATGCTCTTTTTCCACTCACTAAGGTTGGACATGGCCGTCCTCAGTCCAGACCTGCTGTCCTCCATCCACACTGGCGATCGAGTACTGGAGGTCAATGGTGTTCCAGTTTATAACATTCCTCCAGACGAGGTAAGTCTTAGCATCGCATCCAAGGCCTAAACATGAATTGGTAAACACAGAACACACACGGTCACTCAGGATACATGTTCCTCTAGATAAACCGTGTCATCCAGGACACCAGCCGACCCCTGCAGCTGACCATTGAACACAACCCACAGCCTCCAGATGACCAACAGCACCCAGACCACCCCCAGGACCCTATCAGCTGCTCTGAACCCTGTCTGCACAACAAACTCGCTGTAAGTCACAAACTCCCAAGTCTTGAGGAAGAGCCAGGTCCAGTGGAGGAGGAGGAAGATCAAACCAGAACAAACCTGTCGGCACAACCAAACTCAGGAACTACAGAAATGCGCTCCAGGCAGATCCTGTAAATAAACTGTTACTGGATTGACCTAATTCGTTTTTGTCTAGCGTTTCCCTTCTTGTTTACGTCTTTCTTTCCTTTCCTAGACGTAGCTGCAGTATAGATAAGTGTCCTCTTTCTCCCGGAGGGTTGTCACTGTTATCTCAAAGGAGAGACATGGTTCGTTCGGAATCTCTACGAGTGTACCCCGGAGATAGGGCACACCGCATCTTCAGACCTTCTGACCTCATTCATGGAGAAGTCCTTGGGAAGGGCTGCTTCGGACAAGCTGTTAAGGTACCATGGTGGAATGATGTTCGATGGGTAAACCACTAAATGTCCCTCTGACAGTGACTGTAAACTGACTTGTTTCCTTCAAGGTAACACATCAGCAGACTGGTGAGGTGATGGTGATGAAGGAGCTGATACAATTTGATGAGGAAACGCAAAAGACATTTTTAAAAGAGGTAAGTGGTCGGAGAAGAACAGGACACATTTGAAGTAGAAAAATAGCTGGAGACAAGCCCTTAAAATTGTAACAGTTAGAACAAACAGTGACATGAGCACTCACACTTCTCTGATGATCATAAACCACATCAGGAGCCAGAAATACTCAGTCTGGCCATGAGGTTCTTAAGAAAAATCATAATCGCGTTTATTTTAAATTTAACTCAATTAATAATTGCCTCTGCATTTAAACACATTGCATTTATTGCACTTATAGAGCTGCACAGTTTTCTGCTGACAGGACTGCTGTTGAACTATAAAACACAATTTCTATTGATGGCTGTGCTGCCCAGGATGTTGATGTGGTTTTGCTACTTTTTTTCTGTGGTGGTGAGTCTGTGTTTAGGGGGCAAGAGAGACCTGTCGTATTTCTGAATGGTGCAGAAACCACTCTTAATCCAACAGTTTCAAACAACAAGGCAATATCAGAGTACTGTATACATGCAGATCATAATGTACAAAAAAGTTAAGAGTATTTTTTTTAAAACATACAACATTGTTTTTGTTATCTTTTGGAACTAAACTTAAAATCAGAACTCACTTAAATGCACAGTCTTATTACTGTATGTTGTAATCAATGGGCTGCAGCCCTGGAAATCATTAGTTTGATGTTATTTCAGCATTTATTTGAATTATTTTGAATTATATATAAGCTTGAAGAACTATACTTCATTACTAAAGCCTCGTTAGTGTGAAAAAGATGTTATAATTTTTTTTTTAAGTATTCAACAAAGTTTTCAACCAATACATAGAGCTGATTGCTTTACTAAATCTATTCTGATTCAGTGACTGCATGTTATAAGACAAGTGTCCTCTGGGTTCTTACAGGTGAAGGTCATGCGATGCCTGGACCATCCCAATGTTCTGAAGTTCATTGGACTGTTTTATCAGGACAAACGGATCCACTTTATCTCCGAGTACATCCAAGGTGGAACTCTCAGAGAGACCATCACAAAAACAGTAAGTGAGGAGAGGTTCCCTGATCACCTCTAGTACAGTGTCACTCTATTTACTGATCACTGTATCATGTTGCTGTAGGACAAGGACTTTCCCTGGCGTATACGAGTGAGCTATGCCAAAGACATTGCGGCTGGAATGGTGAGATAGGTTACATAACTCCATGATGTACTCTATATATGAAGTTGTTAATTACAACTCTATGGAATAATCATCATGAACATCTCTGTCAGGCCTATCTGCACTCCATGAATGTTATCCACCGAGATCTGAACTCATACAACTGCCTGGTCAGAGAGGTAAACAATGGCCATCTGTGATTCAACAACGCATATACACAAAAGACAATGACACAACAACATCATTTAGGTCAGGAAATAAAAAGGCAGAACTCATTTTTTACCTGTTTGTTTTTATAGAACCAGTCAGTGGTGGTGGCAGATTTTGGACTGGCCAGGCTGGTGATGGAGGAGAAGACTCAGAGCAAGACATCGTCACTGGAGCAGCCTGTGAAGAGGCCGCTGTCGGAGCTGCACAGGCCGAACAGGAGGAAGCGCTACACTGTGGTAGGGAACCCATACTGGATGGCCCCAGAGATGATCCGTGGTGAGTGCACGAGGGCTCAGGAAAACATAACCTAGGGACAGGAGTTTCTCTGTTCAGTTCTCATACCTCATCAACAGGCAGGAAGGAAACTGTCTCTTGTGCATGTTTATTTCCATATTAAAAATAAAATACTGAATGATTTCCATTTTAAAATCTATCTGTTTTTCTCAGGAAACACTTATGACGAAAGTGTTGACGTCTTTTCCTTTGGGATCATGACATGTGAGGTAAAACACAAAGTAATCTTCAACCTCTGCAGCAGATTAAAGAAATGAATGCTGTTATAAGTATTTCTTTTTTTCTCTCACCTAAGATAATTGGCAGAGTGAATGCTGATCCGGACTATTTACCTCGCACGAATGACTTTGGGTTAGATGTGGTTAGTTTTATGCAGCAGTACCACAGACCACAATGTCCCTCCACCTTCCTGCCACTGGCTGCGCTCTGCTGTGACATGGACGCTGACAAACGGTACGCCTGCACACTGCAGACCAGGAAAAAAAAAAAAAAAAGCCATTATGGGTGGAGATGAAGCAGATGTAACCTATTTACCACAAAAACGTTAAATCAAATTGTTATTTTATTTTCTGTTGCGTTGACCACAGCATGTATGTTACTTGTTCAACACTGCAGTGTCTACTCTGCCGGAGGAGGCCATGAGATCATAATAGAGTATATTTTATTAAATTAAATCTTTGTCTCTTTCAGCCCTTCCTTCTCTAAGCTGGAGGAGTGGCTGGGTAATCTGCTGATGCACCTGGACATTGGTCTGCCTCTGCTCTCTGAGCTGGAGCAGCTTCGCCAAACCTTCTGGGAAAGTCAACACAGTCACTTCCACGGCCGGGACAACGCACTAGAATCTAACCAACTCACTGACTGTTCACAACCACGAGGACAGAGTACACACAGTGTAAATAAAAACACAGAGCCGGTTCGCACACCCACGAGCCCAGACGAATCGGTCACACCTGACAACCAGCTGAACGGACAGCAACACTTGATGTGAACACAAAGTGATGGTTGAAGAAAAACTCTTAAACATCAACACAGGCTGTGAGAACCAGACATAAGACAAGAGGCGGTGCAGGGAAGCCCTGAGTGAAGACTTGGAAAAGAACCATAATAAAACACACGTTCAGCACCAAACACTGCAGGTCAACAGCTCCTTGTCTCTCAACAAACAGATGTGCAGAGTTTTGTGGGTCCACGGAGAACAGTTCAGTCCTCTAAGCACTTCTAAGAAAAGGAGAAGACCCTCAGACCAGAACCAGGTTCTGAGGCGCAGAACGTGAAAGGAACACACCTTTTTTGTGTTTTCTTTCTCAACAACCAAGGGCAAGAACATACATTTTGGGACATGGTATAGGAGAAACACAAAAAAGAACACAATGCAAATACCTAGAATACTATATCACCAGTGTACTGTATGTGTGACAGGTTTAAACTGGCTCTGGTATCTTCTCCCTCCAGAAACTGTGACGTCAACAGCACTTTAGGCTTCTTGCTAAATTCTTACTTTTTGGCTTTCAATTAAATAAAAAAAAGTTGAATTAATTAAAAATATATATTGTTACATTTAATCCAGCATTTTGCATAAAAAAATACTCCACCACTTAATGTACAGTTAAATGACTACAGGAAGTGATAATGTGTGCATTTAACAAACATTGTAGATGAGATTTTATCAATGATCAGAAATAAATATTTTTGATATAACAAGTCCATTATCTTTCGTATATGTAAGTAGTTCATGCTCTGCCAGAGTTAGAAGGATGCATTTTGTTTGTGAATAAAAGCCTATCAGAGAGGAAGTTTTAAAAATTTATTAGAAAAAGACACCAAACACCAGATTGCATTATTATTATTACTATTATTACTATTACTACAATAAAACACATTATATACGTATATAATTAATATTATTGAATAAAATATAGAGTAATCCAATATTGTGTTTTTTTCAGTCAGTTGAATTCAGTTAAAACCAGTTTTATCAAGATAGAAAAAATAGACAAAAAGTGACAAACATTGGGTACAAACTAAGATCATTACAAACAAAGTATTTACCGCAGCAACTTTTTCCACTTCTAGTTTTTACTCGATTGAATTTTACAAACGCTCTTAAAATTCTTATAAACACAAAGTAGTTCACGCTTCGACCAAACATTTAATTATCTTTTCTGCAGCACAGTTGAAATTGTTTAGACATGAAAACCGTGATATCGATGAAAATGTGCATATGTTTTAAAAACTAACATTTGAAATTCAGTAAAAACATACCGTGTGTGTTCTCCTCCAGTTACTCAGCGGTTAATTCAATTAACTTAATTGAGAAATAGACGTGTAAACGCGGTAACACGTGATTGTAACTTGCAGTCTCACCAGTAGGTGTCAGTAACAGTTGATATCCGATACTTGCTCGGAGGAAAATGAACAGAGAGAAGCCATGTCTTTGCTGGGTGTAATTTTAAAGAAAAATAACTATATAAGTATAATCCTTTAGTTAACAGAATTAAATATAATTTTATATAATGTTTTTTACGTTTTACAGTTTTGACAACAAAATAAAGACCAAAAAGTAGACCAAATGATTTAAATAATAACCATGTCACATGTGATATTTTATTTCCTACAGCCATACAATCCTGGTCTGGTTTCCTGCAGGCTCAGGCTCCTGTATAAATCCATGTGTAGCTGCTGTCTGTGTGCTGTATGAAGGGATCAGCATGGACTGACACACCACGCCATATGGCTCATTGTAGTTTTTACGTCCATCTATGAAGCTCTATCCCAGTAAAGTACTGACAGAGTGACAGTGTTTCTCATTGACTGCTGTTTTGGTTCGTGGAGATTCTAAGAAGCCATGGAGCACATGTCCACCCCGGTCCGGTTCCGCAACAGCAACAAAACTGGTACGTCGTGAACCCTGAGCACCTGCTTTCATGAAGACACAACATTGAACGCTTGCTTCAGTGATGCTTTAAGAGTTATAAATCATTTCTAATCTTTACTCAGTCATTTTAGGATCATATATCTTCTAAGAAATGGTACACCTTTTGTCTTTTATATTTATTAGGTTAGCTTTTAAGGAAGGGGTTGTTTAAAGGTTCAAGCTCTATTTTTTTCAGCTTATAAAAGTCTGCACGGATCTATTTATTAACAATTGTTTCTTCCATATTTTTTTTTTTACACCATCCTTGGCAAAGCTGCAACTTTTTCAGATAAGGAGGTACGGCACGTTTATAAAATATAAATATCAAGTATTGTTTGTGTGTGTCTTTGTGTGTGTTTAAGACTTTAATCTCCACCGTCCTACCCCTCCTTAACTTAATAAGCTGGATAAAACCTACTGCAAAGCCTTATGGGTAATGTGACCTGACAGGGACAGGGATTCCAAACAGTGTCAGTGCCTCCTGCAGCTACATGACTACAGGCTGTACTATTGTGCATGTAGACTCACAGTGTAGTATGAGGACACCGTGAATCTTTACAGTAGATGAAAGTGTGAAGGTTTGATTCCCTCTGACCAAAACACATACAGCATACATGTGAGGTCAAGAAAAACATTCATTAAGATCTTCAACAGCCCTCAGTCTCTTATGGTTTTAATTACCATTTGCTGCCACCTAGCGGATGGCTATTTAATTGTTCTGCATGTCACTGTCAGATGACCAAAGACAAATAATTGCATTAAATTTATTATAGTTTTTAGACCAACTGAGTAAAACTGTCAGACTTCTGACAGTACACACACGAACCACTGACCTAACTGTCTAATTTCCTCATCTTATCTATGTTTTCTCCTTCAGTATCAGCCTTGAAATGCCATCATAATTCAACTACTTTTCAATCTCTTCAGTGTTGTTCTTGTGAATTGTTCTTCTGAGCAGTGTCCTCTTCCAGGGGTCAAGTCTGTCCATCGAAGACCAAGAAGACACTCAGTTCCCTTTTGCCATGAGAGATCTTCCTCCTGCCTTTCAGTCTGATGAGCAGAACCAGGAAGAAAGTCAACAAGAACCAGTGACCTGTGAACCAACTCAAATTGTGGCAGAACCCAATGAGGGACTCCCTAGTCTTCCTGGGTCTCCCCCCCTGCTGTGCCCCGTACCCTGTAACTCCACTGAACCTCCAAACAGACCACACAGACCCAACTGCGTGCGGTTAGACTCCGGGTTTCAGCCGGTGTCTTTGAGGAGGCAGCTCGTCTCTCAAAGTTCTCTGGAGTCTCCTGTCAGCCCTGTTTCACGTCCACAGAGTCCATGGGGACGCTTTGACCCCTACGACTCTCCAGAGGTATCAGTGTTTTAAACCAAACCACAGAAGGGTTTTAAAGGAATTGTTGAAGAGAAATTTTAATTTTTTTTTTCAGGATAATGACAAAGAGTATGTGGGTTTTGCCACATTGCCGAACCAGGTTCATAGAAAAACTGTGAAGAAAGGTTTCACATTTACACTTATGGTGGCAGGTGAGTGCCTTACTAATATTTCTTAAGGAAACTGACAGATTTGAAAGAAGGAATCAATAATAGGGATGTCCAATATTAACCTTTGGCCAATATCCGATATAGAGATATTGTCCAAACACTTAATTTCTGATTCCAATATCAACCGTTACAGATATAGGCCTGCTAATATTTATTTATTTTTCTGTACTAACCACTGTATGAGTTTCTGGCACCAACATTCTGCATACAATCCCCTGATTATTAAAATAGATGAATGAAATGAGCTACAATGCTGCCATCTAGTGACTTTTACTTTAATATACAGCCATTTATCCCCAAAACTATTTTTAGGACACTATTTGGCCAAACCCAGGTAGTGTGTTATCAGGTTTTCATTATTGGAGGAAAAACGAATACGAAACGATAACAAATCTTACAATAATATCAGTCGGACAATATTATCGGACATCCCTAATCTGTACTTTTAATTGAATATACATCATATATTGATGATATATTGATCAAAGTGTATATTTTTACTCTGTAGGAGAGTCTGGCCTCGGAAAATCTACTCTGATTAATAGCTTGTTTCTCACCGACTTCTACAAAGACAGGAAGGTTCCAAATGCGGAAGGTAAGATCAGCTAGACATGAATGATGAAGTACTGCAGTAAAACAGATACATTAGGTGTGGACAAAAAATGAATCCCCTGATTTTTCTGGGGCCAAAAGTGATGCATATATGTATGTATAAGGTGTATGTGTATAAAGTACATTATTTCTTTACCGTGCTCCTTCTGCAGAAAGGATCGGTCAAACAGTCGACATCATCAGACACAGCGTCAGCATTGAAGAGAAGGGAATCAAACTGAGGCTCACCATCGTTGACACGCCAGGCCTCGGGGACGCTGTCAACAACACAGAAAGGTGAGCAGAACATAAACACCGTCATTAAAACTCTCCTCATTTTTCTATGTGGTTTAAAGGCTTTCCTCTCCTCCCACAGCTGGAGGCCGCTAGAGGACTACATCGACCAACAGTTTGAGAATTACTTCAGAGACGAGAGTGGTCTGAACAGAAGAAACATCCAGGACAACAGGGTTCACTGCTGCCTCTACTTCATCTCTCCATTTGGTCACGGGTACACTGACCTCTCTGAGCTGCAGTAACGGCTGTACCTTTTTGTTTTGATTCATTATCTTTTCTATGTAAACACATGTGTTTCTGCCACTTCAGTCTGAGACCTCTGGATGTGGAGTGTATGAAGGCCCTGCATGAAAAAGTCAACATCATTCCTGTACTGGCCAAAGCTGACTGTCTGACACAAGCAGAAGTCTGCAGGAAGAAAATGAAGGTACGAGGTTCTGGAGCTCATCCTCTTCAGTTTAAGTTAATCTGTAAAACAAATACTGTATAATACAACAGTGCAAATGAGTACTATTATTGAAGGAACAAACAAAACATAGAAAAGATTTTTTTAATTTCCCAAGAGCAAAATTAAATCATTATTGACATCTAGTGGAGCGCTCCAGGCCAGGAGTGGCCCCCGAGCCATGGGTTGGAATTATGCTGTCACCTCATTTTTTCAAGATGAACATATTAAATACCCAGAAGGGTTAAGGCTTAAAGGACTCTGATTGAAGGGGTTTGTTCATCTTCTCTGTGTGTCCTACGTTCAAGATGAGAGAGGAGATAAAGCGGTTTGGGATCAACATCTACCAGTTCCCTGAGTGTGATTCTGATGAAGAGGAAGAGTTCAAGAGGCAGGACCAGATTCTGAAGGTTCTCTCCTCACTTTCCTACATTTGGTGAGCCGTCCACTCCAGATGTGACAGCACATTTATTTCTTTTTTTCTTTTCAGGAAAGCATTCCATTTGCGCTAATCGGAAGTAATGTTCAAGTGGAGAGCAAAGGTCGCAAAGTCAGGGGTCGACTTTATCCCTGGGGTGTGGTTGAAGGTATGACGTACAGTACATTCACATTCAGTCTGTTAGCTGACCACCAACCAGAACGATTCATACTGACATGCCGATGTCACCTGGTCAGTGGAGAACCCGGCTCACTCTGACTTCCTGATGCTGAGGAACATGTTGGTGAGAACGCACATGCAGGACCTGAAGGACGTGACGCGAGAGATCCATTACGAGAACTACAGAGCACAGTGCATCCAGAACATGACACAGATGGTGGTGCAGGAGAAGAAACGCAGGTGGGCATCGCATAGCCTCTCAGAACTAAGAATCCACTCCTTGAAGGAGATGAAATTGTTACATGTATGTTGAGACGTAGATGTGAATGTGGGTTTCAGTTTATGTCAGAAACAGCTAGAGAGGAGTGAGGCAGACATCCCTCTGCCCCTGGCCGTCGTGGACTGTGAAAAGGAAAACCTCATCTTTGAGAAAAATGCAGAGGTACATTTTTTTTCTCCATATAGTAACTTAGTTATTAGAGTCTGACAAGTTTGCCTAAAATACTCATCATCATTTAAATTACAAAAAAAAAAAAAAAAAAAAAAAAAAAAAAAAAAAAAAATCAACGAACATCTTATTTATTAGATCCTGTAAATATTAAAATGTTAAATCTGGACAAACAAAAATCTAGAGCAACTTCTCTGGAAACTGTCCTTATAATTGAAATGTTTAATTATAAGGACAATTTTGCTATATTTTAGAACCAAGATACAGTATATAAGTTACATTATTCATATCAATAATCATATCATTCTAATGAAAGCATTCCTTAAAGGTAGGGCTGTGAATAGATTAAAATAATCAAATAGATCAGATAAATCATAGGCTAACTGGATTGGTAATCATTTTATTCACAGACTTCCAAAGTTATTTCAACAGCCCTACTTGAAGGACAAACATTTGTCTACTTGCAGTACAAAGCTCACCGCTGCTCTCTGAACGTCTTCCTCCTCTGTAGCTCAGGAGGATGCAGGAGGTGCTGGACAGAATTAAAGAGCAGATGCAGCAGAACCAGAGCAGCGACTGCTGATTCTACCACAGTTTTCTCCCGAGGACGAACACAAGCAGCTGCAGGTTGAATGACAAAGACATGAAGCAAACACAAGTTAAGCCTCTGTCTGATGGTTTTCAGCTGGACCTGATTAGACTTCGACAGGATGGTCAGGAGCCTGCTGCTACAGGAAAATCAAGCAAGTAAGGATCACATCCACTGACAACGACAATTGAAGTTATTTTGTTTTTCAAGGCTATTCATTTCCATAATTATAATTGTAATGTTTTTCATTTGCGTCAAAATTTTTCTACAATGTGTTTGAATGTGAAAGTATAGACCCTACATTTCTTCCTTTTGTGCCATCAGTCACAATGATTATGTCACACTGGTTCAAACGCCCCCTATCTGTGATTCATGTGTGTGTCTTTTGTAACAACTGTCAATAACATACATAAAAGAGGTGTATTTAAAAATAATTACATCGCTGTCCAATTATGTGTCATTTGAATCCCCTATAAAATATATACAATATAAATTTAATATAATATACTTTAATATGACTTCCATGTATTATTTTTATTTCGTGTTTTTTTCTTACCCAAACACTGTAACGAGCTACAATCGAGTGAATAAATGCCACAACGCCGCCCTCTAGTGGCCACTAGTGAGAACTGCATTTTCTCATCACGTGCTTTCTTTTTTGTATATTCAGGCTTCTTCCTGATAACGCTGTAATAATAAAAAAAAGAAAAGGTTTGGGATTCTTTATTTTCACACATTAAATATAGAGGCACCGTGTGTTGTAAATGTAATAAGATTTATTAAGAATCTTTATTATTCCATCAGCATTATTCTTCATTAATATGATTTTTTCCATTGTTATTATTATTGTTATCTTAAACAGTGGACAATTAGATCTAAAAGGCAGCCCAAAGTGTACAGGCGTATATAACTTAAAACTTTCTCCATAGGGAAAACATGTTCTTATATATTCATATATAATATCAATGTAACATGAGGTCCAAGATCCTGCCCACGTTATACAGTATTGTACATGGTCCCAGAAATAAACGTAATAACAAAAACATGTTCATGACAAAGAAAACTAAACGCCAGTCTACATGCAAAAACCCAAATAAACAAGCATTCAGATTTAAGATACATACACTCGTATATACCAAAACGTGCATACAATCACAGATTTACAAAAACTTCATACATACGTACAAATATTACAAAACTCAAATTGAATATTAGACATTATATTATTAAGAAAAGAGCAACATCTTTTTGTTGTTGTTTTTTTTTTCCTTTTTCACTCAAATCCTCAATCACAACTCACAAAAGTAAAGGTATAAACAGTTACGATTGATAGTATTTTGTCTCCTCCATTCATTCGCTCGACGTGTATTTGTTTTGCCAGAGTTGTCACAGTGTTCAGGAAAACTGAGTATAGGCACACACCATAATTCACCTGTGTGTTAGGAAACCAAATGAACTGCTGATCACACCCGCTCTCACACTGTCATGCACAGGGCAAACCAAATCACACAGCCATGCTACAAGGTACAGTAGGATTAACTATAGTACAGAGTATTAAACACCGAGTACACTCACATATATGGACGTAACACAGAGAAAACAGCGGAAGAGGCGGAGAGCAGAGCAAATCTGCACATGACCACACACTCACACTCTCTCTCTCTCACACACACACACATACGCACACAGACCTGAGACTAGAATCTTTAGGCTGGCAGGTGGACTAAGGTTCTGTGCTGCACAAAGACACGTGTACCACACAACGCATCGTGTAGTAAAATTTCTGAAGTGGATTTTTTTCTTCTGGAATAATATTGCTAACATAAAATCAAACAAATGCAAACTGAGCCTCGCGTGGAATAATTCTAGGTCTGACTTATGGATTAGTTTTGTGCCATTTTTCACACCAACAAAAACCCTGACTGAAGATAAAAAGAAATCATTTGCTCAGCTGTTGATCTGAACTGTACTTGATGTACCATTCAGTACAAAACATCCGTCAGGTTGATATGCCAAGATAATATTTTACTTTTAACTAAAAGTGCCATCTTTGTCTTTACCTCTTTAGATTGGGTCTTGTGCAGGTTTGTGTTGTTTTGACATCAGTCTCTAATCCAAGGTGAGGCAGTAGAGGGAGCTAAAACACTAAAACATAAAGGAGTATTTTTTGTATTGCCTTACATTGTATCAGGGGGAACTCACCAAAGAGATACTGGATGATTTGAGAGCAGTCGTCACTGACCGAGAGACTTGAACATTTTTGGACTAACCCAAGTTGATGGAGGCGTCTTGACAACATGTGAATGGACTGTACCAAGGCTTCAGCTCATTGATACAACAAAACTGATGCTGGGAGGGGTTTTTAATAACTGTGATTGGTTTCTCAATCACTTATTGAGACCACAGTAATCTTTAAGGCCTGTCAGTGTATGATTTCTCACAGTGGATTCAATGTGCAGCAATTCAAACCAATCTCTGAGAAAGATGTGGCTTTAAAGGTAAGGATGTAACAGCTTCCATCCAAAAAACAAAACAAAAAAACCCATTAGTATTCAATTCTGTTTAAGTAGTAGTAGTGAGCCAAAGGTGAAGAGTAGGATCAGCTGACAAGAAAATACCTGCTATTGTAACTGATAATCTAAAAAAACTTCTACAGAACATAGCTTTCAAATCTGCTGTTAAGCTAATAAATAAATTGTGGGCAATATGGTTGAAGTTTTTTAACATCCACAAATTTAGCTGTCAGCTTTTACAATGGCTTCATCTATGCAGCAGAGGGCATCGTTGTCCTGTTCCATTCTGCTGTGATTCATTGAGTTGGGTTTGTGGTGTCCAGTAGAAAATCACTGATCTCAAAGATGAAAACATGAAATGTTTGTGTGGAAGAAAGGGGTTTTTGACCAAAATTTAAACATTCATAATAATAATAATAATAATATACAGGTCACTTTTCACAGAAATAAAAAAGTAGCAGAACACTTCAGATTGAATTTACTTTCAGGTCAAACCACATCAGGTGGTTGCTATAGTTATTTAACAGAATAAACTACTTCATTCGCCACTATCTGCTCACTTGGTTTCTCCTTTACTGCAGTAACCAAGAAGACGCTGACACTCAAATTTAAATGATTGCTATGAGAGGTCTCTTGTCCACTGATTCGACTTTGACAGCCAGAGTTACAGTCCCAGAAGGCAAATAATGCAGCAGGACTGAACTCACATGCATCCAAAATGATCACCAATAACAGTGAGATAAAACTATTACTGTGGGGAAAGTCATAAAAGAAAAACAATGTTTCTAAGATTATGGTCAGTCTCACCCTCCTGCTCTCAAACACATCAGTCATATGATTCCACAACGTCTCACATGACACAGACACTATGTTAATATATAACGCGGGTAACGTGTAACGAATTACTGCCACAGCCCATAGACACATTAGTCTCTTCTTTGTATTCTCTCAGTTGAGTGAACTGCTATTTAAGGTAAATCCTTGATGCCTGAGTGTGAACTGAGCTTATATGTTAGTGCTTCTGGTTGTAGAAGGTTAGGAGAGGAAGGAAGGAAAGGAGGAAAGGAGAAGGCCAGAAAGGAAGGTAAAACAGAATTCCTGTCGTTGTAAGAGAGACAGATGTCACAGTCTTATTTTCATCAACAATGGCCGGACCGACTGACTCTTGCCTATTGTTCACAGATTGTGAGAGCTGTGTCCCAAATATCCGGACAGATATTTGTCACATGTTGCCCAAAAATCAGGTGATGTTTTTGTCAGAGTTTCGCTGACGTTGATGATTGAGTGTGAAAAATGCAGAGACATCCAACAGTTGTCGTGTTTCGCTCCTTCAGTCTCTTTTGTCACCTTCAGGCCAGTTTGAGTGTACTGACAGGAAAGGTTGGAACGGTAACCATGGTGACAGGGTTAAGGACGGTCGTCTGTCCAACCAGCTGAGGGTGCGGAGCCAGGACTGCTGTGGGTTTCCCTAACGACGGGCTTCCCTGACTCACTACAGTGGCACTGTTCACCTGGGCTCCATTAGTGTTAGCTTGAGGGTTAGCCTGAACATGCGGCAGCGTGTGATGGGTGAATGTGTGAGTGATGTGGCCCACCATGGTGGGCTGGGACACAGAGACGGTCTGGGGGTAAAGAGTAGGGATGTGGGATGGAAGCGGAGCTCCCAGGTGGGCCACAGGATGGACCGTGATGTGTCCGATGGGCTGTGCGGCTATCTGCTGGTGAGTGGCCGTGCCAGCTGGAGCTGCTGTTATTGACTGAGGGGTGGAGGAGTTGGGGCCAGGCGATGGAGCGATGTGTGTTAGGTGTTTGTGAGTGGCTGGAAGTGCATGATTGACAGCTTGGATGACAGACGGGTGGGAGACGGCGGCGTGGGCGATGACAGTGGGCTGAACCTGCACGGCTGAGGCCTGAATGTGATGGGGCGGCGGTGGATGTGGTGGACCCGGGACCGGAGCAGGAGCGATGGCCTGAGGGGGAGGATGACCCGTGGGAGAGGATTTGGTCAAGACTCCTGTGATGGGTATAGGGTTGTGTTTGATTGACAGGTGAGGGGTGAGGAGTGGCTTGGCTTCTAAGATTAGAGGTTTTGGTTTAGTCTGGGGTGGAGGTGCAGGTGGAACTGGGGCTTCCTCGTCAATGTCTTGCTCAAAATTGTCTTCTCCTTCTGCAGAGCGAGAAGAAAACTGTCAGTCATTATGATATGATGCAGCAAAACATTATCATGTCATTTACATGTAAAGATCAAACTGTTAAACCTGCGATGACGCTGACATTTTTTTAAAAGTTACATCAGTGACATTAAAGAGCAAAATAATTTGGACAAAACAACAATAAGAAAACCCCAAAGTGCCAAATTGAAAGTGACTTTTTCATTAAGCCACAGCAGCATTTAACCTGAGGCAGTGGACGTAGAGGCCTGGTCATCCTCTGGCTGGATGGTCTGTCGCAGGACTCTGTCGATCTCAATGACGTCCATGCACTGGCTGAGCTCGTTCTTCAGCTCAGCCAATCGCTGCTGTGTGGCGATTTTCTCTCTGGCCAAACGCTCCATCTCATGCTCGTACTCCTTTTCCTTGCGCTTCAGAGTCTACCAAGGAAAACAGACACAGGACAAAAAGATTACAATTGGTGATTATATTTTTATACGAATGACAAAGAAGCAAAAGTGTTTACATCTAAAAGTGACTACTTTGTGTACTTTGTAGTCCTATTTAATTTCTGGAAAAGTGCATACTCTTATTTTAATACAATAAAAATAATAAAATATGTTAAATATTAAATTACTACTTTCTTTATTAAAGTAAAGGAAAAGGAGGAACTATTTTTTTTGTTCTAAACAGTAGAAAAATAAATCTATTTGTTTAACATGAAACTAAAACTCTATGCTACCATGAGACAGAGCGACCCAGATTACTTTGTCACAGTGTAATGTTGCATTCAAACAATCCTCCCTGAGACTCAGTAAAAACCACTGTATGTATTTCCTGTATGTACAGTTTCCATTAAAAAAACTGAAGCTAAAAACTGGTTTTGAGTTTTGTCCAGGCATTACCCATTAATGCTACACTACAGCTACTAGAAAAAACACCAGGATGACTAACACTGAATACACAGAGGATGTGTTGTTTATTAAAATAACTGCAGCAGGAAGTCCACAAACACCCATGATAAAATACTGCATGTTGCAAAAAAAAATAAAATAAAATAAAATGAATATAAAGAGATTTTTGCATCGTTTTCATTCTTCAGAATAAAAATAACATTTACTACATATACAATAGAGGTGACTGGTCCAGTGAATTTTTAACATTCATAGACAACACTCCAGTCTCTGTTCAAACTATACTTTTGTCAGTATCACTTACAGCTACACCTCCTGTATTCTAAAAATATTTAGAACTTCCTGTTTCCTTCTCTTCACAACAATCAGACTAATTTATTATTGGTATAATTATCATCAACATTTCTGATGGCAGGAGACTAGACGTGTGTGTGAATGAAGGTATGAAAATTACTGGCCTCGTCCTGCTGTAAGCACATCAGTAATAACCAATCACGGATGTTGGCAGATTAGGCAGCCAGGACGAAAAAACAGTAGGAGACGATGAAGAGAAACTTGAAAGAATTATTTAAAGAAGGGGGTGCACTGCCTTCCCAGCCTCAGCACGTTGTCTCTGTGACCCAGTTTTGTGTAGGTCAGCTGACGCACGAACACCAAACAGCACGACTAAGAACATTACCACAGATTATTACAGAGGGGGCTTAACAGCAGAGTTACACAAAATGGTCCAGTAAAGGAGGGCAGAGGACGGAGAGGTGAGGTTTGACGGGGCCGGTGATCAATGAGGGCAAACGGTAACCAGACAGGCAGAGAAATTAATGACTGCAACACGAGAAAGCAGAAAATTAGCCATCAGGAACACATGATCACGCTGTATGAACAGAGCTGTTTACTCCTCAGACACGTGACAGCTTCATGCCTCAGTATGTGAATCTGTTATAGGTACAGTAACCTCCACTCTTATCCGCAGAATTCTTGCCAATACACTTCCCTAAAAAAAGACAAGTTTGGTTTTTAAAGTGGTGGACGTCCTGACAAACACGATACACTGACATTAATGTTAGAAGAACAAAACGCAGCTGCATTTTGATTGATATCAGTTTTCACAAATACATGTGTTATAATTGTAACTCCATTCACAAAAGAAATTGTGACACTACTTAACTGATGTAATTTTCAAGCATTTTCCTTAAATGTTTCAAAGTGACAAAACTGCCTAAACTCAGACAACACTGAGACACGTACACCCAATGGACACAAGCCGCCAGCGCAGGGACCTGCGAACATCTCTAAACATCATCTCAAGGTCTTCCCACACAAAACCCAGACACGATTATTCCTGCAGCAAATCACCAAGGAAACAGTTCCCACCCATAGTCGTTTCCTAGGCAACCTCATCTGTGAGGGCTTGCAGGTTTGAAAAGCAATTTGTTAAAAAATATAAGGGGGTCAAATTAGGTGAGGACTGCATGGGAGTATTTATATTTGAAGAGTGATGTCATGGGACATTTGCCAGTAGGGTGCACCACATCACTCCCACTCCGCCTCTTCCTCTTTATCCATTCCATCTCCCTCTATTTCAACACCCCCATCCACCTCTCCTTGGATACCCTTCCCCCCTTCTTATTCATCCCTCTACCCCCACGTCTCCATCAATGCCTCCTTTATCCTCTTTGTTTCAGTACGTATTCCCTGATGAAATAGGTTAAGAATCACACTGGAGTGACAGGACTTGACCAGCCAGGTGTCTCTGCTCAAACAAACGAGCATCTGACCACAGAAGTGAAGCATCTGCAATAATAACGCAGGTAATACGTGAAGCCCTGAAGCTCACGGCAGATACTCCATCATACATTATCACAGGAAAAAAAGAACAGTATCAGAAACAGGATTTGATTATCTCTGTCTTTATATCAGACATCCTCAGGCAAGCAGCGGGCGAAAGAGTGACTCCAATGTCCTGGGCAACCTGCTGCCTGTTGCTATGGTTACCAAGTGTTCTTAAGACAAGTGACAACAGGGTAACACGGGGTAAGATGGACTGGGATGGAGAAAATAAAAGGACAGGGCGCAGAAAGAAAGGGCTGTGTGTTTGGGGGAGGGAGAGTTGTCCAGTCATTTATTTTCATACACTGGCTGATGGAAATGTTCTTAAAGAAATGTCAATTCGTGCAAGATTTGCAGAAAAAAAAAAAAAAAAATTCGCAAGATTTGCAGAAAAAATAATAATAATAATTTATGTAATTACATTCAGTTTATTAAGTTAGTTTTAGTGTACTATGTTAGTTTATGGAGGAGTCGTGTGGTGGGTAACAAGCACCCACTCCATGTAGAGCTGCACTCGCCTAAAAAAAGTAGTGACAAAACTATGTCCTTCTACTTTCAACCATAAACCCAGCGGTACAGACATTTGGCCAAGATTATTGTCTTTTTAAATGCTTTCATAATGTTTGATTATGTTGGTTTACCTTAAAGACACTACTTGCTGTCATGCATAACTGATGTATTTAAGAAATAAGTGAACTTCTGGTTATTTAAATTTTGTTGTCCACGGTGCAACTGCATGATTTGCTTTCTGAATAACTTTCCGTTTGGCTGCTGTTGTGCAGTGCTGGCACAACAGATCTTTAGAAGTGAACTAATACTAAAACAATTTAAGTCCTGTGGCAAACTGTGATACACACTCAGTGTGTACTTGCTGTTAAATGACATGTTTAAATGAATAATAAATCAATTTGAATAATTGACAGATCTTCCTTTTAATACCTCGCTTTTCATTTTACACTTATTCACAGATCAAGACGCTCTAAGTCCTCCACCACAACAACGCTGCAGCACTGCTATTGTCTGTCCTGCTGTGTAGCTGTTGCCTTCCGTTCCCCTCTCTCCCTCCCTACAGTGTAGAGATGCGGAGAAAAGACGAGTGGTTGAGCTGCAGTGACGTCACCAGGCTCCGCACTAGCCATGTGCTCACAACTCACATGGCTCAGAGAGAGGGAGTGAGGTTGCAGGTTTATTTAAGGGGAGGCAGGGGGACAGGAAATGGGGGAAAAGGAAGTGGGTCAAGACATTCATCTATAATCAAAACCAACCTGTTACCACGCTGCCCTAAATGCAAAATTGTTTTTATTAACACCTATATATATATTTATTTTTTTAATTTTTAATTTTTTGCAAATGTCACAAGGTGTTTTATGAAAGGTCTGAATCCAACATATTTTTATTCTTCAAAAATGCTTCATGTATGCACTATAACACAAAATGTTTGATATTTATATGGGTAAAAAAATATAACAAAGTTATTATAATTTAAGCATTAGACTATTTTTACTTGAGAACATACAATACTAGCTGGTTTAAAAAAATACTTCAGTATTTACAATGCAGTGTGTCAAAATGTCCTTTTGTCCCCGTGTCTGTTCATGTCTCTGTCAGCTTTTAGTATATAAAAAAAACCAAAAATGTAGCAAAAACGTAACTGCGACAAATAATACTGAGATCAACAACTTGCAACAGTTGCCTTTCTTTTGAAATGTATTCAATTTTTGAGGAAATTTCCCAACAGCCTTAAACATACTCATGCACCACTACAACTATATAATTATTATTATACAAATATATATTTTTAAGAACTGTTGTACTCTGCAGGTGCAGAAATGTATTTGCATAAACAGATCATGCTTTAATATTTCATTATTTTCTTTATAAAGGTTTAGGGTTCTCTTCTTATAGGTACAATAATTGATACTTTATACAATAATGGATGCTGTTGTACTGGAGTGTGTGACATATAGTAAAGGAAAAACGAGAAGAATCTTGTTCTATAACCTACAGAAAAAAAGCAAGATACCTGAAATAAAAGAGTGTGTCAGACACCATAAATATATCAATACAGGCTGAGTGCTGTTTGAAAACTAAGTTCAATTTAGAGTAAACCTGCAGTAGTTCACATGATCAGCTGAGTGGACTGCTATCCATGTGTCCTGAGGACATAAACATGACCAAACATGACATAGAAATGTAGCTTTGTCCCATGTGACAACTGCAACGTAGAGAGTGCTATCCAACTGAGAGCAGATCAGTCCCGGATCAAGGGGACAACTACAGTTGTGGGTTTTTAATTTTAAGAAATGTCACCTAAGGATTAGTGTAAGATACTTGTGCATATCGAAATCACCTAAAAATACACCACACAATACTTTAATTCTTGGTGGAATAAAGGTTTTACTTCATCTACCTTGCCAGGGTTACAGTATCTGCTTGCACCTGCTGCTTGCAGGTGAATTACTGCAAGACTGACACCTAATCTCCACATTTGATTAACTTCCTGATGCTTTGATCCTAACTTGTTTCTGACGCAGTTCAGGAATCTGTCATATTTTTCTATGTGATTATGCTTTTTCTCAAACTAGATAAGAACGGCAAATACCATCAAAGCAAACATAAAAAGACTGTTAAGTCTCAGTCATTTGACTGTGGGGCCTTCTACCCCTTTTTATAGGCTATTCGCTGATGATCAGCAGATGCCACATCACAGTCACAAGTCAATAACAAGCACATGAATGCCAAGCATTGTTCAAAGTTGGTAGGAAATCTCAAAAATATGCACCCCTACCTGTATGTAGCGCAAAGCACTACGGAGGACACTGAGGTTGGAGGTCTTTTTCTCATCAACATTAGGAACGTTCTTCTTTAGTGTCTCAAAACTCTCTTTCAGATGTGCTCGCCTGGAAACGCAAGGGAAGTAAATCAGTTACTGAATTTGGTTTTACTTTACGTGTGTATTCCTTGTGTTAAATGTGGGTCTTTGCTATCTTTTTCTGTTTCTATTACTCAGGGGAAAATGTCTTGATGTGATCTTTGGACCATATCGGTCCTGTAGAAACATTAACACTAATTTAGGGAGAAAGAGAAAGTACAAAAAACACTCAAGCAGCTACGTTCTTTAAAACTGAAACTGAAAGCAAAAGTGCAGCTCAGTATTAGACGTTTATGCTCAGAACACTGTGGTATTACAAACCAAGATATACACTAAAAACAACCACTCATTGCTTTGGAACCAGAAATATTTGTTGTCATTTATGTGCTACTTCTATGAGCAGAGGTTTACTTTGTCTAACAGCAGTGATCTCCAACCTTTTTTGGCTTCTGGCCCTATTTTGACAACACACATTTCTGGCAAGCGCAGAGACATATTTATTTCTAGAATTGGTTTTGATCATATTTGTTATACAGAGTAGACAGATTAGTGATGGTATATTTTCCAGTGCCAGTGCATTTTATTTGAACCCTAGTACAGTTGTTTAAGAGTGTGTACAGTTTTTAATCATCATTTTAAAATAATATTTTTTTTATCAATTACATTTAAGGAGACCCTATTTGAATTCCATGGCCCTAAGGTTGTAAAACACTGGCTTAGTGAGTGATGCACACGGTAAACAAAGAACTAAGGAACAAAATAATTTAGACTCCAACACTTAGATCAGTCGGGTTGGGGAATGACAAACAGTCTGATACATATTTTCAACATGACTTCTGAGCAATGCTACTTTTTCAAGAACAGATGATGATGCATGACAGCACCTTGTTATCAGACAAGGAAACAAAAGGCTTGAGCTGGACAGTTAACATCTTAAACTTCGGCCGACATCATAAAACATACAGGTACAGTTTGTGTTGCTTTTCAGAACTCTTGGTGAACAACAACATGGAATGTTCAATTCTGTTTGTATTTATATAGAGATTTATAAAAAAGAAGCCTGGGGTGGCTACTGTGTGTTACAAGGACAGACACTTACATGGAACCCTGTTCAATGTCTGTGTAGGTTCTCAGTCATCCAGGTCATCCTATCCAAAAATAGTTACGTCGAGGGCAACTGGACAGAGCAGGTTTCTTGAAGACGTTTCACCTCTCATCCAAGAGATCTTAGATAAGAGTTGAAACCTCTTCAAGGAACCTACTTTGTCCAGTTGCCCTCGATGTGACGATTTTTGAACCCTGTTCAATATTAAAAGCAACTTCATAATTATTTTTACAAACTAACAAACCTGTTCTTTTCCAGTTTATTATGAACTTCTCTGGTGCCGGCTCTGAAAAGAAAGACATAAATTATTGTAAACAACATAACCTACTGCACAGAATCATCATGTGTGTATGACAAACAAACGCACAAATAAACTGACCCTCCTGGTCTTCTCTTCCCTTCCAGCGCTCTCATGTCTTCCACTGTCACTCCATTCGGCCGAGCCTGAGTTGTGGGTGGGGAGTGATGAGTGACCAGTGTCTGGTGAGGGCCAGAACCATTGGTGCTGATAGATGTCGGGTACTGAATTTGAACCTGAGGCTGTGGCTTTGCACCCATTAGCTGCTGACTTGTTTCTACTTTTATCTGTGGGGCACACAACAGGTGACAAGAGGCCGGCTGCTGCTGTAGCTGCTGCTGTAGCTGCTGCGGAGGAGTGGAAGTGTTCTTGGCTGTTGGAGAGCTGTTGAGAGATGTGGCCACCGCAGCAATTGGCGTTGTAAGAGGAATGGGTGGGACGGAGGGAGTGGCAGTGACAACAGGGACCATCGGGATGACAGCAATCGGGACTTGGGGAGATGGGAGAGAGGGTGGTGGGGGGGCAGGAGGTTGAAGCTGCTGTTGACGTTGAGTTTCATCGCCCCACGTAATTTGGTTGGTTCTGACGGGCTGAGAGGATGCAGTCACAAGTTCCACACGTCTGGTTTCTGTCTCTCTGGTGATGAGTTCTTTTCCTTTGCGTTGCTCTTCCTCTGCAAGACAAAATCCGGCAGAATAATGCATACAAGTGAGCAAAAATAGAAGTCATAACCATGGTTATATAGGCCTCGGTTAAATGTAAGAGAAAAACCAACAAATTGTTTTGTTAACATTCAATATAGTTTAAAAGTTCAATAAATGCAACTTCTCAAATCAATAAATGATCATTTTGAATAATCGTGATTTCAATGTGTCAAAAATAATCGTGATTATGATTTTTGCCATAATCAAGCAGCCCTAGTTGAATGCATGTTATGCAGCAAATGAACAACTGATTGAAAAAAAAAACAGTAAAGTAGCACTGCATTTTATGTCAAAGCTACAGGACAACAGAAATGCTGATATTGACTGATTTTGGGAAACAGCAAAAACCTTATAGCCTGTTAAAAATCTGTACTATTTCAATACACGTAAAATGTTTGTTTTGTGCACACACAAAGCATGACATCACCAGTAGACACAGACTAAGGAGGGCAGTGTAGGGGTAAAAAAAAAAAAAAAAAGTCTTTATCATTTTTCACCAGAGAAAACTCCCCTCTGTCTGCCCCTTGATTGGATCAGTCCAGCATGAGCATGCTCTGTTCTACCTGCAATATATGAGAGACCTAACCTCACCAACAGCAGGGAAGTATTGTTTAAAAGCCACTCAGCTGGGCTATTCTAAGTTGACACATTATTTGCATATAAAATGAGCAGTGTATTTTCATTATATATAGATATAAAATGAGCAGTGTATTTTCATTAACAAAATTCAATAAAATCCTAAAAAAAGAAAAACTGCACTGTAACAAAATAATGTGTACATGCTATGTGGAAATCCATGCACACTTGTTATAAGTGAGTAGCTACTGCTCGCTGCACCAGGAGAACTTAAAGCAATGTGGAAAGCCCCCAGTTACCTTGGAAACAGCAACATTAGAAGCAGAAGGTCTCAGGGATTCCTCAGACCTACACACACAACGCCAACACACAGCACAGCCTTCACAAAACAAACCAGAATCGCCACATGCCAGGCCAACATGCCTGGCTGCACATTGAGTAACATTGCCTCACATGATGCTGCAAACACACAGTGACGCACTTTCTGCTCAACAAAGCAGCATCTTAAAAAAAATCCCATCTAGTTTCCAAGCTGCTGCCAAAATGATACTGGCAGAGAATTTATTTCACAACTTCACTTACATTGGTGTTGTTTTAATTAAGCACTCAGGAGACAAACTGAATGGTCCCTTACATTGCAATTATATGACACAGAGATTAAGTTAGATTAGACTAATAACTAGACTAGAGTGTCTGACATTAGACTAGTAACTAGACTAGAGTGTCTGACATTAGACTAGTAACTAGTCTAATCTAACTTTTGGTTTCACTAGTTACTAGTCAAACTAAAAGCAAGCTGTAGACCATTTAACTTTCTTATAATAGAAATTCCACCTGAGTGTATCGATGTGTTTGCGTTACTGGGTCAACAATGGCATAAGCCCGAGTCTAGGTTTGTACGCTTTTGGACAACAGACACTAGCAAACCAAAGTGCATACACAGACATGGGCACACATGAAAACACAATGTTTTATACTTTAGATGCTAATATTAGCACTGATAGCCCAATAGATATGAGCGATGATAGAACCTATGACAAAGATTTACTCTTTGTAACCATAGTAACCACTAATTGTTTTACAGCACAAACAAAAAGCAATGTACAGCCACTGAGAAAGTGGAAAGTAGCTTGGGGAAAACAAATGTATCTTTATTATCTTATATCATTTGGTTCAAATAATGTTAAAATTGTGCTTGTTTGTTTACTTTGGGATGTGGGTCTTTGGATTTGAATGGCAGCTACACATCATTTCAGAAGCATTATCAACTGCATTCTGTTTTGTTATAAAGAACTGCCTGCTGCACTCTTTACCACCAACATTACATAAGAACGGTTAATTGTCTACAAGTGATTATATAAAAAATTATTTATTAAAATAATAAGGATGTAACTGTTGCATACCTGGATGTTTAACTGCCTTGTTGCTGTAGTACTACATCATTATAACATTTAAAAAACAACTTAACACAATAGTAAAGTGATTAAATACAGTATAATCTCTTGTTACACACAGGGTCCATGCCCCAGATTGTCAAATGCACGCAAATGTATATTACATAACTTCACTGTTGAGAGAGGCTGGGTAAGGGTGGTGGAGAGAGCTGGGAGGTTTGCCCTACTTACCCCTCCACCTCCACCCCTTCAGCCCCGACCCGCCACTGTCAGCAGACTGAATGGGGGAGGGCGGAGACGAGGATGTGTGTGCGTGTTTGTCTGTGCACGTAGGTGTGTATCCAGGAAAGAGGGACAGGGGTGGCACGCACGTGGCCGATGTGGGCGGGGCCTAGCACGCGGTAGGGTAAAAGTAAGGCGGAGGCGAGAAAGACAGAGGGAAGGAGGGGGTGTCTGACACGTCATCTGAAGGTAGAAACACAAAAGCAGCCTCATTTCGACCCACTTTTTCACGTCTTAATAATCGACTGACTGTCAACGTACTTTGTAAGGAAATCACTTGAAAACTTAGTTGCAAAAAACCGAATCATTCACGCATGCAAACATATATTGAAGCGAGCACAAACAGGACGGGGGAGAGCGCATGAGTGCCCGCCCCAGTGTGTGTCACAAGACCGCTGAGCGATGTCACGGTATTATGTAAAGAGCAGGCTTCGCTCCGCCACCGCCCTGGTGCTTCTCGACGGGCAAAAACTGGGGCAAATGTTTTCAGCCTTTAAAACATGCAACACCGTGTAGAGTTGTAGTTACTAATACAATTGGTTGTATATCACATTTTCTATATACCCACTTACAACCTCAATAACAACTACTTACAAGCTATCATAGACTCTAACGTAATCCACTTTATGAGCATATTCATCTCAACTTTACCCAGTATCTCAACGATTATGTTCTACTTCATTACGACTTGGCTTTAGTCCGCGTAAAGACTACACACGCGCGTGGTCGTGCACACGCACGGTGAGTCACCCGAGTGTTGAAACTGTCACACACATACACACACCGAGAGCGCGCAAAGTAGCTCTGGGGAAACAACTTTATCTCTTTCCGCCTTCTGAAAACACACGTCTGCATTATTTCATACCACATCCATTAACTGAGCGTGGTTTGCAATGGGATCATTTTGTTCTCTGGCAAAGACCCAGAAACTACGAACGCTTCCGTTCTCTACAGGCGGGTCGGTTGAAAATACAAGCCCAGTGTAAGGTTCCTCAGGAGTCAGTGTGTGGAACACATTCACTGGAAACTTAAGTGTCACGTCCGCTCAACACAATGCACCACTCCGTTGTTTCACTCACCACGTGCTATCAGTTGTTGTTGGGCTTGCCATTCCAGGTATCTGGCCGCCTCTAAAAGTGTATCGATGCTCATTGCGCGTAAAACCGTCCCGGCAGGCAACCCGGTGGCCCCGGACAGAAAGAAAAACAGCAGGCGGTAGATTGCGTCCGCTAAGAAGCGCTGTGTGCACGCTCCACAGTCGCAGGTCTGAGCTGGTCGTGTCCTGTGTTTCCCTTTAAAAACAGGAGGGCAATTTCTAATCCGGTAGAATGGAAAGTAGATCCTCGCATACGTAAAAAATAGGATCGCAACAAGATGGCGATGCGAGCACGGGAATACACACAACAAGGCGAGTCGTGTTCTCGTTACGACCCGCCCCTCCCGGATTCCTGCGCCGCCCTGTTACTACGGCAACAGACAAAATCAGGCAGTGGAATCACTCATGCTCCTCGGCGTTTTTAGTGTCGACTACCGTTAAGGCTAGAGGCTCTCTGCGATTACATTTCATTTAAATTACCCCAAGCGATTCTTTCTCATCTCTTGTAATACATTTTCTTCTCGTCACAGTCGCAAAATGTTGCAAAGACTGGGACTCTGGCAGTCCTATTCCGATTTTCTTTTCCATGTTTTTTTGACGTTCCTAGCCCGCAGCGCATGAAGAGCAGTCAGGCGCCCACGGACCAATCAGAGATCAGAACAACAAGGCATGGTGCTGGTCCACATGGGCACCCGCCCGGCCTGAGCACGGCTCATTTGCATGGCAAGAGCGTGACTGGCCACCCTGCTGTCTTCAGATCAGAGCTGTCGATCAAATGGTAATGGGCGGGGTATTACAGAGCACGTATGCGAGTGAGTAAGAGAAATGCACAGTATGAAAATGACTACTGCTAAGTAGCCCAGCCAAATATGGACGTCGAGTGTTGTTTATATTCCGAACGTGTTTCTTTGAGGCACAAGCTACAACTTACTGTTCCTGATCTAAAAACAAAGCGTGTTAAAAAAAGCATAGCAGCGTGTGAATTGAAGGAAAACACATAGTGACATTTTTAATAGTTTAGAAATGTTTATTTTTTTCATGGTGTTGAAAAGAACAGTTTGTCATAAATATTTATATTAATCTTCAATATTTTATATTGCAATAGAAATAATTATTTCCTTACTAAAATTGATTGGATCCATTGTACAGTTGTAATAACATTTAAAACACATCATAAATGTTACATGAATTTCCAAGTCGTCTCTAATTTGCTAACAAGTACTTTATATTATTAGGGTTTAAAATAACAAACAAGTATGGATATGTTAACCAACACATTTTATAATGTTGTTGGTCCAGTTTCAGGTCAATGGGTATTCATATCAACAAATTCATGTATAACATATATAATCTATATCTCAAGGAACCCCCTCAAACATACAGATGCCCTGATCTGGACTTTTTTGGTGTGTTAATTTACTTATATCTACTACTTGTAAAAATAATTTACCTGGTCCTTATTGAATGCAGATTAATTCTATAAAATATATGTTGTATATTCCAGCTTTATCAGGATAGCAAACACGCTGAGGTGCACCACATTACTGCAGAGAAGATAGTATAATAGAAGAATAGGTACAGAATGAGTAAATCAACTTATCTCAACTTACTGCTTTACCTCTTACTTTTTAGCCAAATAAAAAATCTTTCTCCCCAAAATCAGTAATTTTTTTTATTTGCAACTACCGTGTCCAATGTGTTTCTGTCAAGCACATCGGTACATGTGCAATGGGATTTTTGTTATTTTCTGTAACTACTAGGCTAAAATGTATAAGAGTTGTTCATTTCTGACAAATAGAGAGAAATAAAATACTAATAATATCTTAGTTTTACTGGTGTGAGTCTCTGTTCTCACACAGAAGAAAAATGTATTGCATTTTGACTGCGTGGCTGCATGGCAACAGCCTTTGATTGGACACCACGGTAACGTATACATTCTCCATCACACCATTAGATCAGACCCTCTCAGCCAATGAATACAGCAGATCTGAGGTACGTACATAAGGGCTTTCTTCACCTCACCATGTGCTGGGTCTGTATGGACAAATCTACTGACACTTTTGCCGTCTCTGAGCCAGGAATCAATTCATATGTGTGTGCACGTGTGTGATGTTTGCAACGAGCTGTGATGCTGTAACATTATGTGTGTTAAAGACCAGAAGCGTGACCAGAAATGAAGCACAGGATGAGCACATGATCTAAAGACATCTGTACATCAGTTGTAAAGAAAGGATACAGAGGGGAAATAATGATGAGAGGGATTTAGGGAAGGAATGAGCCGACCTAGTTGGAATTGCTGCATCACTAGTATGGATCAGAGACAAAAGGGAAGTGATGCATTGCAGGAATATTTTAAGTGACCAAGTATATATATAAAGCAATAGCTTTTAGACGTAAACTCAACAACATAATGTAATATAATAGCAAAGGGAGTGCTGGTAGATCGTGACCAATTAACAATAGCGGAGTGCTGGTAGATCGTGACCAATTAAAATGATATATATATTAAAAAAAAACATTTCTATAGTGTGGTAAGGACCATATACTGTAAGAATGTAATCTTATTGTGCCACACAGCTACATGTAGTTATAAGTACCCCATAATATTAGGTATGTTAGGTTTATTAAAATAGTTTGGGAACACCTGGTTTACATTGTGTCATTTTGGTCACAGGTTACACATACACAGTGTCTAGCACCTGAACTGGGACAACGTCTGGTCCACTAACCCACTTCATGCAGTCCCGATCTAGATGTCAAAGATAACATATTTTTTTATAACCAAAACAAAAGTAGATGATGGGCACAGTCAGTTCCAGAAAATTGACATCAGACACATTTGAGTCTCAGAAGTACCCTAGGAAATTATACACAGATGCTGTACCGTGTGATAGTATAGCTGAATTATCTTGGAACAGACTGGTATATGATACCACAGATGAGTTGGGTATTTTCGGTATTTAATTTGTTATTTTTTTGAGTTTAAGAGAGTAACTCATAATGAAAAAAGCAGTCCAAAATGAATACACACTGTATGCATTAAACTGTTAGTTGTAAGCAAATGGGTTGCCATGTTTGTTTGTTTGGAAAGAACATTGTAAATGTTTTTTATTTGTTACTTCATTAAATGCTTAATTTAGTTATTCAATAAGAGAAACACATAAAGACTGGCCACATGCATTTGTGTGGCATACAGTGTTTTTAATAAACAACTATATCGTGTTTTTCACATTACACAAATAATGATGTCTCCTCGAATAAGATGACTGTGGAAACATTGGCCCTCACTTCCGTACTGCCACTAGAGAGCGCCAGATCTTATAAAATGCTCTGTAAAATGCTGCTCGACATTGTTTAACTTGCTTGGACAGGTCACGGAGGAAAATGTTTCCTGACTGGAGTAGGCTTTCACATGTGATCAGCCCCTGTTCAACTTGTTTAGACAGGTCATTTCAGACACATAATGATAGCTTATTGGTGTTTCAAACGGGATCAGCTGTGAAAGCACTCTGCTTCAACTACACAAATCGAGAGACAAAAAAAGCATGCACAATTCGCTTAAAACTCATACAACTTGTATAATTGATCAAAGTAACCCCCTTTAACATTTAAGTTGAAGAAAATCATGTTTCCCATGACTACCAATAATGGTATTTTTGCTTTCGGTAAGTTGCTGTGCCTGTAACCACCCTGATTCCTTTTACAATAGAGCATGCATTTTATTACTGCTTTCTTTAAACCCTTGTGGTTCAAGGTTGAGGGGCATAAGTTATTACATTTTTCTATACATCATAAATATTATGAACGATTATTAATCAAATCTGATTTTTCTGAATGTTTAAAAGTAAAAGTCTTGTATAAGTGTGTCTGTGTATAACCTCAATGACGATCTTCTTTAATCCAATCAAGTGGTGAGAGCTCAAGGACAAAACAAAAGGAAAATCTGTTGAGGATGAGAATGCTTGTATTCTTGCCATAGACAACCAATGGTAGGAAAGAGGGGGTGATGAAAGCTATCTACATTAACAACAGAAGACTATTACTTACACAGGAAGTGGCTTGAGAGACCAGCTTCCAGCTACCAACAATGGTCTGCTGATGACAGACAACTAAACAAAAGCATACCCACATAACATCAAATAACAATTTAAAATGTAATCTCTGTAACAACACAAACATAACTCTGAATTATTTGGATCAACATTAAAATATTTTTGCATTTTACAGCCAAACAAGTCTCCTGAGAGACTGACAAAAATTGCCATAACTGACTGTTTTTCAAGTCATCCAGGCGGGGTATTGGGTTAAGTTTTCAACCAGCAATGATCACGTCTCAGTTAAACTTCATAAACTATGATATTGTCTCTGCACAAGAATGTCCCACAGTGGGTGAACGTAAGCACAGGGCTGTAGTAACATTCTCAGCACGTATGGTGTACTTCTGGGCCGTTACATATCGCAGAGTACTTTTGAATTGTCCACTTACATATCAATGGCTTTCTACCACGGGTCAGTGAATATATACACCCAATCCGGTGTACATACGATATGCTAGAATTTTTAAAAAGGACAACAGATAATTTAGTTAGAACATATGAGCATTTAGCTGAGTTTGTTTACATTTACAACAAATAAAAGTCTCCTGAGAGATTGACAAAAATTGCCATAGCTGACTGTTTTTCAAGTCATCCAGGCAGGGTATTGGGTTAAGTTTTCAACCAGCAATGATCACGTCTCAGTTAAACTTCATAGACTATGATATTGCCTGTGCACAAGAATGTCCCACAGTGGGTGAAAGTAAGCACAGGGCTGTAGTAACATTCTCAGCACGTATGGTGTACTTCTGGGCCGTTACATATCGCAGAGTACTTTTGTAAAAAATTCAGCCAGTAGTGAACCATCAGAAATGATCTGGTGGTTGAAAGACCAAACTCTTGGCTTGTAACCCAACAAACAAACTAATTTTGCTGCATTGCCTTAATTATCAGTTTATTTCTGTTAATTTTTAAAACAAAAAACATTATTTAGTGTTTTAGTTCTTAAAATTCCTGTCCCAATCAACATAACCTGCCATCCCTAGAATTTAAAAAAAGACAGCAGTTAATTTAGTTAGAACATGTGAGCGTTTTGCTGAGTTTGTTTACATTTACATCAAAAAAAAAGTCTCCTGAGAGACCGACAAAAATTGCCATAGCTGACTGTTTTTCAAGACATCCAGGCGAGGTATTGGGTTAAGTTTTCAACCAGCAATGATCACGTCTCAGTTAAACTTCATAGACTATGATATTGCCTGTGCACAAGAATGTCCCACAGTGGGTGAAAGTAAGCACAGGGCTGTAGTAACATTCTCAGCACGTATGGTGTACTTCTGGGCCGTTACATATCGCAGAGTACTTTTGTAAAAAATTCAGCCAGTAGTGAACCATCAGAAATGATCTGGTGGTTGAAAGACCAAACTCTTGGCTTGTAACCCAACAAACAAACTAATTTTGCTGCATTGCCTTAATTATCAGTTTTTTTCTGGTAATTTTTTAAAACAAAAAACATTATTAAGTGTTTTAGTTCTTAAAATTCCTGTCCCAATCAACATAACCTGCCATCCCTAGAATT